CAGTTGGTGGTGGGCTCTGCAGCTATAAGGTCAAGAAGAGATGGGTGGGCCGAAACCAGTTTGGCTCAGTGGTAGAGCACTGGTCTGCGGACTGAAGGGTCCCGGGTTCGATTCCGGTCAAGGGCATGTGCCTTGGTTGCGGGCACATCCGCAGTAGGGGGTGTGCAAGAGGCAGCTGATTGATGATTCTCTCTCAGGGATGTTTCTAACTCTATCCCTCTCTCTTCCTCTCTGTAAAAAAAAACCAATAAAATATATTTAAAAAAAAGAAAGAAGAAGAAGAGATGGGTGGGAAAAATTGAAGTTTCATGGTGGTACAATTAAAAGAGGAAGCTGTTTGGTGGAGGGTAGGAAATACAAAAGACAGACGAGAGAGAACCAATCAGAGGTAGAGAGAGACTGTCTCCAAAAGCAGTCTTGATTGCTAGCAGCCTTCTAGTTTCCAAAGTAGTCTCTGAGATTGTGTTGTGCTGAATTTTCTACCTTTGGATTTCTATGTGCTCCCCTCTTAGAGGCCACATAACCCCCTAATCCTGAGCCGCCTTGGTTTCTGTTCCTAAGGACAGCACCTTCATGCCTTCAGATCTTGGTTCTGAACTTTTACCTTCTAAGAGACTCTCATCATCACAATGTAAAGAACTGCTCTCCCTCTACTCATAGAATTGTTATCATCTGGTTTCCTTCACAGCATACTTATCACTATTAGAAATCATCTTATCTATTTATTGTCTCTCTCCAAAACTTGCAGTGTGAGCTCCTCAAGAACATCAATCTTACACCTAGAAGAGTACCTGACATATAGTTAGCAGTAAGAACTCAATAAATATATTTTGAATAAATACCTCTCACATCTGTTCTGCTCTTTTAAAACCCACATTTTTACCATATATAAAACCACCTCTTGACATTATTCTACTTTCTTCCATTAAGTGGCACATGGTGGAAAGTATGATCAATGAAAGGTTGCTTAAATCTATGGATATAAGACAAGGACTTTTAGCCGGGACCGGTTTGGCTCAGTGGATAGAGCGTCGGCCTGCGGACTGAAAGGTCCCAGGTTCGATTCCGGGCAAGGGCATGTACCTTGGTTGTGGGCACGTCCCCAGTGGGGGCTGTGCAAGAGGCAGCTGATCGATGATTCTCTCTCATCGATGTTTCTAATTCTCTATCCCTCTCTTTTCCTCTCTGTGAAAAATCAATAAAAAATATATTTTAAAAAAAAAAAGACAGGAACTTTTAGCAGTATACCAGAGTAATCTGTCATAGCTGGTCTATCACCAACTCTAGCTCTTTCTACAGTGTGTGGGCCAAGATACTTCTTTAGAAATAAAATCTGCTTCTTATTACTTTCCTCCAGGTAGGCGTTGGCTTTTTCTAACTTAAAATTTATTACTTTCTTTTTCAGGATTCTGGGTTGACTATTATATAATTCCTCAAATGTCAACTTATTGAAACCTAGCCCGTAATTTTCCTCTTTTTTTTTTAAACATATTTTATTTATTTTTGTACAGAGAGGAAGGGAGAGAGACAGAGAGTTAGAAACATCGATGAGAGAGAGTCATCGATCAGCTGCCTCCTGCACACCCCCTACTGGGGATATGCCCGCAACCAAGGTACATGCCCCTGACAGGAATCGAACCCGGGTCCCTTCGGTCCCCAAGCCGACGCTCTATCCATTGAGCCAAACCGGTCCTGGCTCCCTCTTTTTTTCTATAACAAAACATCTTAAAGAGAAACAGAGCTATTATCAGGTGCATGACAGATCCACTGCATTTTAAGGTCCCATCCCATCCTTCAAACGGAACACTAGAAGTGTGTGTTGGGGTGCAAGGGGGGGGGGGGGGCAGGGGTGGAAGGAAAACGCATTGGAATAGGAAGTGTGGCATTACTCCAATGTAGAGGGTGTGGTCAAACTTCCCAAGAGAGGATAATCATTGAGCGAGTAATATCACTCCCCCACCTTCACACCCTCCCCAGAATAGGAATGAAAATCTGTGTCAGAACAGATAAGACTTGTAAAATCTTATACCAGAGTTAACAGGCATATCCAATCTTGAACGGGGAAAAGAGCAGGAATACAAGCTCAGCCTTCACTGAAACACAATTTAATATTGTGTTCTCAACTTTTGCTTAGGATTGAAGAACATTTTCCACATTTTCTGCAGATACACAGAGGAAGCTTTTGTCTATTGTAGAACTCAATGGCCTTTATGTAAAGAAACAGGTAATAAATGTTTCCTAGAATTTAGTACAAGGGACAACTCTTACATTTAGATCAAACTGAAATTTTTCTTCTTAGCCAAACAATGCAAACTCTATGCTGTCATGGACTTTTAGAGCTGGAAGGGCCTTTAGAAATCCCAGGTGCTAGGAAGAAAAAAAGAGTTCTAGAAGCAAACAAGATTTTATATTTCTACTAGAGGCCCAGTGCACGAATTTCATGCACTAGGATGCGGGAGAGTCCCTCAGCCCAGCCTGTGCCCACTCAAAGTCTGGGATCCACCTTGCTCTTTACTGCCAGCTGCTCACTGCTCCTAACACTGCCAGGAAGGCAGGAGATATTCCCACCACTGCCACTGCCACCGAGCTCGCCAGCCATGAACCATCAGCCTGGCTTCTGGCTTCTGGTTGAGCAGTGCTCCCACTGTGGGAGCTCATTGACCACTGGGGGCAGCTCCTGCGTTGAGCATCTGCCCTCTGGTGGTCAGTGTGCATCATAGCAACCAGTCCTTCCGCTGGTTGCTCTGCTGTTTGGTCGATTTGCATATTAGGGTTTTATTATATAGGAGGATAATAATTTGATTGATATAAATCATGATAAATTGATTAAACAAGGCCATTAGACTGAGGTGGCTTTACTGCTTTCCTTAATAGCCTACCTAAGCAATCCAAAACCTAACCTTATAATACCTTAAGGCTTAAGCCTAAGGAATTGAAACCTAAGGACAATCAATCACAAACAGTCACCTAGGCTTTCCTGAAAAAGGTATCCACTTGAACTATTGCCAAACAAATAATGTCTTTTCTTTGCTTCCACCTCTTCTCTATGAAAAGTATTTCCCCTGAGCTCCTGTCATGTCCTGTTTAGTGCTGCCCATCTGAATCATTTGTTGCTTAAATGAACTCTTAAATTTTAAATGTCTCACTTTGTATATTAACAATCACGTAATACAAAATCCTCCTTTTAAAGTGTACACTATATTTGTTTTTATATATTCATGGAGTTGGGCAACTATCACCACAACTTTAGAACACTTTAGCTTTAGAACACTTTCATTGCCCTAATATCCATTAGCACCCATATCCATTAGCACTCATTTCCCCACTTCTCCAGCAAACAAGTTTCTTTACAACAGAAATCCATGGACCCTTTCATGGGATTCTAACATGCTTTTTGAATTTATAAGAAAGGGGTACAATGTGCAGTGTTACTCAAACTCATTTAATAGCTAACATCTTAGTGCTTACTATTCTAAATGCTTTTCAGGTATTACCACAATTCCTCTCTCTCTCTCTCTCTCTCTCTCTCTCTCTCTCTCTCTCTCTCTATATATATATATATATATATATATATATATATATAGCTGTGGATATTTAATATCCACAAATAAATGTGGATATTAAAGAACAAAAAGACTGAGGCTAAGTAACCTGTTCAAGCATTCTTAACGACTTCACTCTACTATCAACCGCAGAACCAGTTAGTTGTGAGATGAGAATGAACCATGGACCATAACTTTGGAAATGCTTTAGTTCAGTATCTTTAATTTAATGAGACAAACGAGGCCCAGAAAGATAAGCTGATTTAGCAAGAAAACAAAGCATTTTCTCTCTCCCCCCGCCCCCCTCTCTCCTTTGATTTCCATCTAATTGACAGCTAAATTTAAAACCCAATGCAATGAACTAATTAACCCCAGGTTCCTGACATAATTCTCTCCCTTCTTTAAAGACTTCCTTGCAAAAAACAAAAAACAACAACAAAACACACACACACACACCCCAAACAAAAACAACACAACCCCACTAAGCTTTAACACTGTAACCTGTCGGGGCCGGTGTTGCTCTTTCTGGGTGTGCGCTCTCGCGGTGAGCAGTGCCCTGCTCCATCACTTTGGCATGTACAGTGTCTAGTTGGAGGGTCAGTCCGTTTTCCTCCACCCGAGGTGGAGGTCAGCTCCCTCCCTCTGTGCACCCACAGCCCTTCATCTTCTCTGGACATCCCCGCCTTGAATTCCACAGCGTGTGTGCTGCTGTATGCACCCCACTTTGTAGCCAGAGAATGACTGGAGGGCAGGTGTTGGCATCGACTCCGAACGCCGCGAAGGAGGCTCAGTAAATACTGAACACTTTCCTCTCCCCTTTTGGTTCAATTCCTCCGGAGCAAACCAGAACTCTGCTGAGCCTGCCAGCCCTCAGAGAGCGCGGCGGGCTGAGTTTTCAGGGTCCTTAGTCGGAGCCGGCGCCGCCTCGGACCAGAAGGCTTGGCCCATCCCCTCCCGGGACTCGGAACCGGCAGCTGTGGGGCCCCGAGGTCCGCCCTTCGCACCCCGGCGGGGGTCCAGCAACAATAACGGGTCAGGGCGTCGGGGGGGGGGGGGGGGGGGAAGAGGCTGGCGGCACCTCCCAGACCCGTCCAACCCTCGCGAGGTCCTTGGCGAAGGCATCTCACCCTTTCGGGACCGAGTCCCGACCGAGCCCGGCGAGGAGATGAGGGGGCGAACCGGCGTCCCCAGGCCGGTGGGTGGCAGAGCAAGGCCTCGAACCTGGGTCCCTGCTCCCAGCTCAGCGGACCTTTGGGGCGGGGAGAGCGAGGGTGGAGAGCGATCCTCGCACGGCCCGCTTCGGGGCACCCCTTCTCGCCGGCCGGGAGCTCCGGCCCGGGGTCACCGGGCGCGGCCGGGGCTGGGGGGTCGCGCGCCCCCCCTCCCAGCCCGCGCCATCTTGGGAGCGCTGAGGCGGCCGCCCCGGACCGCCCGCCGCCCCGGCAGTCAGTCACTCACCCGCACTGCCCGGGGCCAGGCCCCCCGCCACCTCCGCGACCCCCGCCACGGCCAGGAGAAGCGGCAGCGCGGCGAGCGGAGAGGCGCGGACGGTCGCCATGTCCCGGCCCGGAGGTCCGCCGCCGCGGGATGCTCGGACCCAGCCCGGCCGCCTCCGCCGCCGCCGCCGCTGCCCGCGGAGGCCCCGCCCCGCCGCCCTGGGCCTTCGGTGATTGGCTGCTGCGTGATCAAGCCCCGCCCCTCGATCTGAAGGCGTTTCCGAAACCCGCGGGGGGCAGGAGCGTGCCTCGACCCCGGCCCTTTGTTGCGGCCCAGCTGGGAGCCGGCGTCCGCGGCGGGGACCCCTGCCCGCAGCCGCCCGGGGGACAGTCCGAGCCGAAGGGCCTTTGGAACTCCTCCTCCACCTCCCAGGGCTTGCAGATAAGGTCCCTGAGGCTCAGAGAGGGCACGGACCTGCCCAAGACCACACCGCACGCACTTTTAGGAGAACTAAAGCCTGAGAACTAAGACCAAGTCCAAGGCTGAACCAGAGTAACTTATCCTTTTCGCGTACCTCCAGAATCCTCCTTTTTTTTTTTTTAACATTCAAAAATCACCAAATGATTTACTTGGAATCAGAATGAAAGAACATTTGACAGCCGAAACCGGTTTGGCTCAGTGGATAGAGCATCAGCTTGCGGATTGAAAGGTCCTGGGTTCGATTCCGGTCAAGGGCATGTGCGTTGGTTGCGGGCACATCCCCAGTAGGGGGCGTGCAAGAGGCAGCTGATCGATGATTCTCTCTCATTGATGTTTCTAACTCTATCCCTCTTCCTCTCTGTAAAAAAAAAATCAATAAAATATATTTTTTAAAAAAAGAAGATTTGACATTGTTGAAATGTGTGTTTCTTCTGATACTTTTGATCAGATTATACAACTCATCTAGGACACATGACCAGAAATATTTTACATTTCTTCAGGACTGGGGTTTTTTCCACGACTTCAAATTTGGGATCTTCAAATCTGAAGTCTGGGAACGTATTCTTGTCTATTTTACCATGCTTTTGGTTAAGCTTACAAAGCTCCCTCTCCGTGTCTTGCTGATACTCTGGGCCACCATTATCAGGTCCTCCAGATGACTGTCGCTTCGTTTTGTATTCCCCAATCTTGTCCAGGAAGAGTTTCTGTACCGGATCAAGCTCCTTATTAAATGCCGCTGCGGTAACACCCATATTCCTCCACAAACGGACTGAGCCTGCAGACCGAATGACAGAAGAGAACCCGCAGAGCCTCTGAAGAATCATGGTGACTGTACTCAGTCCCAAGCTGCCAGAGCCACCCCACCATCACTGTCCTACCTCCATAATCCTCTTAATATCCTTTCTGCTCAGACACCCAAAGAAGGCTTGTCACCCAGGACAACTCGGCCTTCCCTAAAGTCTGAGGTCTGCTCCCGCAGACACGGTCCCCTGACACGGGCCCCGGGCTTCCATGTGTCACTGATGTACTGTTAAGTGCCTAATCCTATCAGGAAAAGGCTGGGGGAGGAAGGCTTGTGTATCTCGATATGGAGAGCCTTGAATGTCAGGTTTAGACTTTCAGAGACAGTTTGGAGGTGGGACCCCACTTCACCCCTTACCTCTCCTTCCCTGCAGCTACTGGTGGGAGAATGTTTGAAAGGGTATCGTGGCCAGCAAAGCTCTGGGTCTTCCTCTCTCAGTTCCTAAATTAATATCTTTTCCCTCTCCCTTCCCTTAAAAACAACAACAACAAAATATAACCAGAGTTAAATCCCTTCGTATCCTTAAATATGCAGTGTTTACATTTCCCTTATTGTCTCATAATCTCCTTTCCCAGTTTTTTAAGTTCCAAACAAAGCCCCTATATTGAAATTGGTTTGTATGTCTTTGGGTCTCTTTATACCTATTGTCTCTCTAAGTTTACAAAAGGAAAACATGAATAAGTTATGATAATCTTTCTAAAGCATCTGCTCTGATGGCAACTCTCTTGCTTCAAACTCTCTGAGAGGCCACCTTTTTTTCCTTACAGGATAGAACGATGTGCGATTATTTAACGTGGTGTCAGAGGCTCTTAGCAACTGGACCCAAACAGCCTTTTCCACATCATCTTCTCACCCTCCTTGTACTCCTGTCATCATCCTCTCAGAACCTCTTATCTTGTTCCAGACTTCTTAATTGCTCTCACTCCTTTCACAACATGTATCTCCTCTGCCCAGAATTTCCCAATTCTTGGAACCTGGCTCAGCTGAGGGAACTAAGATGGTTGCTCTGGGTTCAACTGGGCCCTAGAAGGATTTGAGCAGAAAGAGGGCTCGTGTAAAATGACTGACACATCTTGCTTTGAAGCATAGTAACTTCCATCTTGTGTAAAAAACTGCTTTTTAAAATTCTCTGTTATTGTCAGATAATCCCTTGTTCTGGAAACTCTGTCATAAACTCTGTCACTTTAAGACCGTCTGTTGTTCTGTAAAATGACTGTCTTTTAGTACAAATAATAGATAAAGATAAGCTTAACTGACCTTGCAAGCTAGCCATCTACTCTAATAGCCTAAAATAGACTAATACTGATAATAATTCCAAATACTAACTCATTATGTATTGGAGGTTACAAACTAACTGTAACAATAACCTACACAGAGGTCTTTGTGAAACCTGCAAACAATGCTCAAAAGGCATAAATACTAGACACTTCCTCTCTGACAGGATTCAAAGATTTGGGAAACACCTCCCTCTGGTCTTTATTCCCTTTATTCCCTCGAGAATAAAGACTCCTAATTGGCTCATTAAGGCATCTGGCATCTATCTCACTGATTTATGATACAACAGCTTGACCCTGAATTGCCCTGGCTTTAAAACTGAAAGTCCTATATCCCATCAACTTCATTAGTCCCAGGCAAAATGGGACAGTTGGTCTCCTTACTTCTGTGCACCTCAGAAAATGCCATAAGCGAAGCCTACAAGGGGGTTTCTATATAGAAAAATTGGGTCATATAGGTGCCTGATACGACCCCCAAATTGGGTCAATAGGTGAGCTGATTGTTATAAGCCATGGAGATGGGTCATTCGACCATTGCTCCCTGTATTAGCTTCCTAGGCTGCATAACAAAGGGACACAATCTGGGTGGCTTAAACAACCGAAATTTATGTCTCAAAGTTCTTGAAATTTATCTCTCTAAGTTCCTGAAACCAGAAGTCAGAGATCAAAGTGTTGGCAGGGTCGGTTCCTTTGGGAGCTGTGAGGAAATAACGGATTCATGCCTCTTCTAGCTCCATTGGTTGCTGGCAATCTTGGGCATTCCTTGACTTGTGGATGTATCATCTTTATCTCTGCCTTCATGTTCATGTGGGACCCTCTTGTGTGCGTACGTGTCCGTCCAAATTTCTGCTTTTATGAGGACACCAGTCATATTGATTTAGGGGCCCACCCTCCTCCAGGATGACTCATCTTAACTAAATACATCTACAATAACCCCTATTTCTAAATAGGGCCACATTCTGAGGACCTGGGGGTTAGGAATTCAGTGTATGAATTTGGGGAGGGTAGCACACAATTCAACTCATAGCAGTAGCAAATGAAAGACCATCCACCTACCCCTTCAGAAATCATTGACTCTGAAGGAGAGGCTGAAGAAGGAAGAAAAGGATAAGGGATTGCCCAGTTGCTGTTCAGAGATTCTAAGTTTCCCGGTAACAGTAGTTGAGCTCACCTTGGGTGACTCACAGAAGTGACACTCGAAGTCTCATGCACAAAGAGAATGCTTGAATAACTTGAAAATCTCAGAGCTGTAGAATCAGAAAGGACTTCACTTTCAGGTAACTCTTGTGAGATATGGCAGCAAAGTTGCTCTGGATGAGTCAAACAAAGCAGTTAAGGCGAGGGGCTCTCTGTTAGTAGAGACTATTTCTCTACTACCAAGATGTGTAATCGTGATAGACATGTTAGGAGAATGGCTAAATCTGAGCTGTGGAGAATTTAAGAGGAAGCTGCTTAAGATCTTCCCACCCAGAATGATGGCTGACCAGGTCCTGTATCCTGGGGGAAGTCAGAAAATAGGGAGACTGAGGTACTTCTTGGCCAAGCATTCTCCGGTTCAATATCTGGATCATCAACCCTCCTGTAAAGGGAGCCACTAAGCAGATGGGACCTGGAGACTCTATTGACTGTTATTGCCCATTGAGGCAAATAGTTGGACACTGGCCTCAGGCATGGTCCATAGGCTTGAACAAATAGCACATCAATTTTAGATTATCTTGCTGTTTTGTGATGAAGCCAATAGCTTATTTCCAGTTTCCCTCTACTAAGACAATCTGAGCAGGTAGCTTTCCCATGAGATAGAAAGCAGCAATGTAATTTACCAATAATGGAAAGAGCATGAGTTTCAGATACACCTGAGTCCAAATTGCACTCTACACTGACTAGCTGTGTGACTTTGGGCAAAGTCTTTTGACTTCTCTTTCCTTTATTTTTATTAAAGAAGACATTGTAGCCGAAACCAGTTTGGCTCAGTGGATAGAACGTCGGCCTGTGGACTGAAAGGTCCCAGGTTCGATTCAGGTCAAGGGCATGTGCCTTGGTTTCTGGCACTGCCCAGTGGGGGGTATGCAGGAGGCAGCTGATCGATGTTTCTAACTCTATATCCCCCTCCCTCTCTGTAAAAAATTCAATAAAATATAAAAAAGAATACGACATTGTAAATGTGTCTCACATTCCAGTAAAACTAAAATTTGACATATCCACAAGTTTACTCAATATTCATGCAACTACATCAAATTTTATAGGCAACACATGGACTTTTACATAACAGAATTTGGCCTTTATAAACAAGCTTACCCGTAAAGTAACATTCATAATGTGGCATTGTTATTGTGTGGTCAGTTACATGTTCACTTGTTATTGTGCAATTGGTTGTGACACCATGAGGAGAACACGCACCAAGCAGATGACTCTGAGCCTCACCGACCCTTGATTGAGAACAGTGCACATGTGTACGGCCTGGTACAATTATAAGCAAGCAGATGTGCATAGGCTTGGGATTAAAGAAAAGATCGGTGCAGAACTACACTTTTCTAATGACACATTTTTTTTAATTTTAATATATTTTTTATTGACTTTTTACAGTGAGGAAGTGAGAGGAATAGAGAGCTAGATGAGAGAGAATCATCTATCAGTCGCCTCTTGCACACCCCCTACTGGAGATGTGTGCACAACCAAGGTACATGCCCTTGACTGGAATTAAACACGGGACCTTTCAGTCCGCAGACCGATGCTCTATCCACCGAGCCAAACACATTTAAAGAAGATAAAATAAATGCATGGAAAACGACATGAAAAGATTTATTCGGGCCGAAACCGGTTTGACTCAGTGGATAGGGCATCGGCCTGCGAACTGAAAGGTCCCAGGTTTGATTCGGGTCAAGGGCATGTACCTTGGTTGCAGGCATGTCTCCAGTAGGGGATTGTGCAAGAGACAGCTGATCGATGTTTCTCTCTCATTGATGTTTATCTCTCTGATGTTTCTAACTCTCTATCCCTCTCTCTTCCTCTCTGTGAAAAATCAATAAGATATAGATATTTTTTTTTTTAAAAAGAAAATATTTATTCGGAAACTATTAAGAGGCAGTCACTTTGCTCCACCAGTGTGACTCAGTGGTTGAGCCTCAACTTATGACCCAGGAGATCAAGGTTCCATTCCCAGTTAGGTCACATACCTGGGTTGTGGGCTTCATCCCCAGTGGAGGCAGCCGATTAATGATTCTCTCATCATTGATGTTTCTCTTTCTCCCTCTCTCTTCCTATCTGAAATCAACAACAACAAAAAAATGTAGGGGAAAAAAAGGGCAATCACTTCAACAACACATGGTGGTAACCAGTGTCAAAAATCAAAACAAGTTTGTGTGCGTCTGTTGTCTTACTACACATTAAAAGCTATTTAGAATATCTAGAAACTCAAATCAAACACTTGAGGGATCTCCATTTGGAAAGAGCTTGATTTCTGCTCATCAGACTATATTATTCAAGCGGGTTTTTGTTTTTGTTTTTTAACAATGTATGCTTGAACATGTCTGTTTTAATTCTGATACCTCCTTTCATGCTCTCTTCCACAGCTGGAATAAACATGTTATTCTGTTCTTTTTTAGCTTTTTGAAATCATGATGATGTTCTATGTTTAATTCTAATTCATCTGAGGTTTATGGGAACGTATGGTGTGATGTATGGATCAAAGGCAAACCTTCATTCAAGTGAATATTGTTGTTGTCCCACTCATTATTAAAAAGTGTTTCCTTCTTTATGCTATTAATTTTGATGTGGCATGTACATATTAAATTTGAATGGTTGGAATTTTCTGTTTGCTTTGATACCACTGATTAAAACATAATAAACAACAGTGGTGTATAGTTTAGTAGTTGTTACTTCGTAATAAGTTCAAATTTGATAGGAAGAATCTAACATTGTTACCTTCCAAAGAGACTTGTATTGTTCAAGTGTTCTTCACTAGCAAGGCATGTAGTTCCGTAGAGTGTTAGGGAATTATAAACAGCAATTAATTATGTCTCTAAGCCCAGGTTTCCTATTGGCCTTACCTCAGACATAGCAAAATACAAGTTTTGAGGGGTAGAGCCTTGGAATAAGCATATTAAAGAATTCTTCTGTTTGTTACAATTTGAGATCTTCCACTGTAGAAATTGAGGTCATTTTTATTGTATTTCTCTTTCAAGCCCTGGTCAATCACTCTGCCTTACTTTTTATTCACATAATACAATTTTTTAAAAATTGACTCCATCAGTCATGTCTAGAATTGTATTTGTTCCAAAATTTTTGATACTTACTAGTGTAAATATGTTATTCCTGTTATTTTTTTCTGTCTATTGATGATATATAGAAACACAATTGATTTTTGAGAAGTTATTTCTAAATCTCCTTCACTTTTCTGAACTCATATAACTGCGAATAGTTTTCTGCTTCATTTTTTAAAAACACAAGAATAGTGTTTTCTGCAAAATTTGACTATTTCTTCCTTTGCTATATGCATGCCTCTTATTTTGCATTTGAGCACATTTGTACATCTATTTGCTTTTGTGCATTTTAGAGCTATGTGAATAGGAATGCATCGTTTCTAGACTAGCATGTAAGAAGCTTGGAGTGGCCACTGCTAGCAAATAAAAAGATGAACATGTTGGTAAAGCAACAATTCTTCTTAGATCCATAAAAGAAGTGAGGTCAGAGGGCAAACTGTTGCCCTGGCATTGGAGAGACCAGGCTGGGTTGCTGGTGCCTGAGGACTTGGCCCACAACAGGGACTTCCACACGGGAGTTGCTTCCCTGCCTCTTCCTTCCGTCCCTCAGCCCTGGCCCCGAGTCTCCCAGGACCTGCTGCTCAGAGTGTGGCCTGCAGAGCATCAGCACAGGCATTGCCCGGAAACTTGTGAGAGACTCAGATCCCACCTCAGGTTCACTGAGTCTGAATCTGCATTTCCACAACATCCTCAGGTGACTCATGAGCACATTAAATCAAGTTCAAGAAGCTCTGATCTCAGCAGCTTGCAGAAATGTCCACCAGATGGCAGGATTGCAGCAGGCATTAGCAGCAGAGCCACAATCCGGCACCAAGTCTCCTTCGAATAGTACCCTAAACGGCACTAGAAGTTTGGAGCCATTGCCCACGAGCTGTGGAAAGCATGGATGGGAGAGTGGGCCCAGAGGAGAACTCCATTCAATGAGTGGCGGGTTGTGGCGTGTGAGCCATGAATTTCCCCCCTCTGGGCTTACCCCAGGCGTTTCCACATTCAGTGTCCAGTGAGAGGGATGGAATGATAACATCTCATTTTTACAGACAAGGAAATCGAGGCCCAGACACTTAGCCAAGCACTCAGCAGTGGCAAATGGTGCTGGAGACAGAACTGGAAGGCAGGTCTCTGGCTGCCTGGCCTAAGCTGAAGGCACCTCTAGAGAGACGTGGCTCAGGTGCTGACCTGGGCCACCTGCCTACCCCACTCCTGATCTCCCCCCCCCCCCTCCCAGCTGCTCTTTGAACAGCTACCTGATTTTCCTTGGGAGTGCTAGAAACAGTTATTTTAATAATTCAATTTGAAAGGTGAACAAGCTTTCCACAATACAAAGGGAAGTGCTAGAAACAGTTATTTTAATAATTCAATTTGAAAGGTGAACGAGCTTTCCACAATACACTGGACTTAACCTTCGAGGGGACAAAGCATCAGGTGTAATTTGGAACTGACAGGACCAGCCCTGGTCCCCAGAGGGTCCTCTGGGAATTCCGATGGTCCTGAGTCTGTGGCCAGTACCAGCTGTGAGCCTCTGACTCTTCCATCAGCTTTCATCCCAACCTACTTACTCTTGCTGTTTTCATTATAAGAACAAAGATTCACTTGCACAAGCTCAAGTGATTTTTTTCCTCATATTTTCCCCAAGAATCCATTTGTACTAATTAGGGAAATCACATAGAATTCAAGAATATAAGTCTTTTTTTTTTCCTTCTTCATTTTCAAAGGTAGTTTTATTTGGGTTTTAGAAAAAATATATGCAATTACTGGGTTAATACGGTTTCTTTGGATTAGGCCCCTACTTTCCCCTGAACGGTCTTCTTCATGAATTCACAGTCTCCTACAGTGCTTGGGAATAGTTCAAGTTGGTGGCTGACTCCCGAATTTTCCAGAAGCCAGGAGGCAGCAGGGGTTGCCCGAGTTTCTTTCGTTTGTTTCCCTTGCCCTTTCCCAATGCGGTACGTGCTGTACGTATGGAAGCTCCAGGCCCACCTCCCCAGGGGCACAGCTCTGCCCTCACTGCTTCTGGGGCTTCTCAAGGAAGAAGGGCGGCCTAATGAGTGGCGGCCAGAAGCCAGTGTGTCCTGGGAGGGACTTACGGCGGGGCTTAGAGAGACCTGGGTGAGGAAACGGATACCAGGCGCCATCCTCTTTCCTCACTGCACACGCACACACTTGCTACGTAAGCAAAGCAGTGCGCAGCTTCAGGCTTCGGGGTCTACAAACACGTGTCTGAGTGGGAGAGGGGTGATGGGAGATAGGAAATGAGCAGGGGGGGGGGGGAGCTGGAGACCCCATTAAGGAGAGGGGAGAGAGCGGTAATTCCCTCTCTGCTTGCCGACCTGCGTCCTCTTTTGGACGCAGCTGAAGATCTCCTTAAAGAGCACCTTGTATTTGGGAAGTGGCGTGCTGGTGCTGGCTCCAGCGCGGGCTGGGGCCCTGGCAGCCTGCCCAGCCCTGTGGGACAGTGAGTCCCCCATCTGCTGCTTGCACTTGGTCAGCAGCTCCTCGTACTGTGCGCCGAGTTCCTGCAGCCGGGAACTCTGCTCCACAGCCTTGGTCTTGGGGAGGCAGGTCCCCTCGTGGCTCTTCCCGATGTCCCCGCCCGCCACGCTGCTGCTGTGCATCGTCTCGCTGCTGCTGCTGGGCTGCAGGGGCCTCCGGAGAGGCCTCCGCTGGGCCTCGGGCACGGTCAGCATGGGCACCTCTTCCCGCAGGCTCTGGCCGGGCTCTCTGAAGAGGACCAACAGGGAGCCGTGCACCAGCTTTTCCACCACGAGGGGGCGCTCCAGCCGCAGCACCCGCCGGATTTCAGCCACCGCGGCCTCCAGCTCCAGCGCCCGGGCCCGGTAGCCGCGGGCGGCGCCCAGCTGCTGCTCCAGCTCCTCGTTCTTCCTGAGCACCAGCCCGAGCTGCTCCTCCAGGGCGCCCCGCCGCTGCTGCTCCAGGCTCAGCCGCGCCCGCAGCGTCCTCAGTAACTTCTTCAGGTGCTTGTTTTCCTCCGTGTAGTAGAGGCTCGGCGGGCCAGGCCAGGAGGCCACCTTTCCTGCAGCCTCGAGGTCATCATGCTCCCGCAGCTCCTTCCCGCCCCCCGAGCCGGGCGCGGGCGTGGGGCCCCGCTTCCCCGGGCCCCGTCGGCCTTGGCCCAGGGACTTCAGCTCCTCCACTTGGGCCTGGAGCTGACGGGTGCTGGCCTGCAGGGTTTTGATCTTCTCAGCCAGACTCAGGAACTTGTGCCGGGAGGCCGCGCTGCCCGCCGCCAGCTGCCGGGTGGCCTCCTCCAGCTCCCGCGCGGTGGCCACGACGTGCTCGTGCACCTTCGCCCCCTGCTCCTTCCCCTGCGGCGGCGGCAGCTCCATCGGCGCGGCCGGGGCCTCCGTTTCCCCGCAGCTGCTCCTTCCTGACGACGGGCCGTGTGTGCATCTGCTGGGGAGAACCCTCCTCCGCCTCCGCTCCCACCCAGGGGTGTCTTCCCAAGCTCAGCAGCCGGCGGGAGGTCCTGCGGGATGGAGGTCTCAGTGGTCGCACCAGGGCGCGTCCTCCCTCTTCTCAAACTCCTCGGCCGCGTTGCCCGCCAGCATCTCGGCTGCCGACGATGTATCCCCGGGGGCTCCGGCCCCGCCTCAGTCCGTCCTGCCTCAGCCTCTGCCGGGGATGCTCCACGGCCCCTCAGCCTCCAGCCAGAACCGTTAGCCTCGCGCCGCCCGGCACCCCGCCCCCTCCAACGGCCTCAGTTCCTTAGTTCTATGAAGACTTCTGTTCTTGGAGGGGCTGGGTCGTGGCTCTGGCTGGGGCGCTCCTGCCTGGTGCCAGCGGCTGTTGGGGGCCCTGGCCGGGTGGCTCAGTGGGTTGGAGCATCATCCCATTCATCAGAAAGTTGCGGGGTCATTTCTCGGTCAGGGCACATACCTAGGCTGTGGGTTTGATCTCCTGTGGGGGCGTATGCAGGAGGCATCCCGTCGATGTTTCTCACGGAGAGGATTAAACAATTGGGGAGGCTGAAACCGGTTTGGCTCAGTGGATAGAGCATCAGCCTGCCCACTGAAAGGTCCCAGGTTCGATTCGGTCAAGGGCATGTATCTTGGTTGCGGGCACATCCCCAGTGGGGGGTGTGCAAGAGGCAGCTGATAGATGTCTTTCTCTCATTGATGTTTCTAACTCTCTATCCCTCTCTCTTCCTCTCTGTAAAAAAAAAATCAATAAAATATATTTTAAAAAAAACTAGGGAGGAAGCAAAGGGTTATAAAAATCTTCATTTGCAACCCTGTTGTTATTATTATTATTTCTTTTTAAAAACCCTCAACCAATGATATTTTTTCTATTGATTTTTTTTTAGAGAGAGAGTAGAAAGGAGGAAGGAAGAGGAGAGAGAAAAAACAACATAGACCTGAGAGACAATCAACCGAGGTACATGCGGTTAACTGGGAATCGAACCCAAGACCTTTGGGTCCTTAGGCTGAGGCTCTAACCATGCAGCCAAACCAGCCAGGGCTCCAATCCTCTTATTAACCACTACTAAGACGTGCTTTAACCACATCATTAGCAGCGAATTAGATGAGACCATGAAACAAAGACAAATGCAGAATCAGCACAGAGACTAAGTGAGAAGCAGAGACCCCAACAAGGAGCCCCAGACCCACCCTGTGTCCGGTTGCTCACCCCTCCCGGGCTACCACCACTTTTCCTTTCCCAGCAGAGCCCCCCCCCCGGCCCCCCCCTCACACCTCTGGGTGGTGAGGAGGCTGGATGGTGGTCACCTTAGGCCCACAGGGAACTTCCTCCAGGAGAGGTCACATGACATGTCAGGTTATCAAACCAGTCTTAACAAATGTAACTCTGAACGAACTCACATCGAGGATCTTTTCTGATCACAATGGAATGAAACGAAAACTCAATAGCAGAAGGAAAACTGGAAAATTCACACGCACGTGGAAATTAACACACTCATGAATACCATTGGGTCAAAGAAAAAATAAAAAAGGAAATTAGAAAATAAATACATCCAGACAAATAAAAACACACACCACAATACACCAACGTGTATGGGATACAGCAGAAGCATCCCATCAGAGACAGCTCATTCCAACAGCTCACACTGACAGCTGCTGACAATGGTCTTACTGCAATCTTTGACTAATTGGAGCTAGATTAAAACTTCCTCGGATTACCTAGCCAAGGATTATAAATGTACTGGGGTAAATAAAAGCGAGAGAGGCAATTTTAAATCTTTTTTTTTTCTTTTCAGTTAAAATAGGGGTTAACATGCAATGTGGTGCCAAAGGGCTCCTTTCATAGAGAGGAAATATTTGAAAGCATTTTTGGATATTAGTTTATCGGACATGGTTGTGAGAGATTTTGGTTTATTCATGTATTCTTTTCACAACAGGAAGTCAAAATGTGGGAAATGACTGATTGAAGTAAAGGTCTGTGTACAGGAAATAACTGAGTTATGTTAGAAAGCTTAAATTGGGCAGCCATAAATCAACACACTGTTATTAATTTTTTCCCAATTAAATTATAAAATCACAAAGACACATGTATGTGTAAAAGTAGGTTTACAGTTGTACATATAGAAAAGAATCTGGTAATAAATAATACAAGAATGCACTCTGTGTTTTGCATCGTCACAACTGTAAACCTAATTTTACCCTATTCTGTACACCATTCTTAAAAGAGATGCCATTTTCAATACAAAGATTTTTTTCTGATATTTTAGATAATACAATAGCATTAGTAGGTAATATGGATTTCAAACATCTTTTCTCCCCATCCCCCCATTCAAATAGGTTTTAAAAATATAGACAGCAATAGAAAATGAATATAACTTTGGAGGTACCTATCAACCAGTAAAAGGAGAAAGCTGATTTTTTTTTTAATTATTATTTTTTAGAATATATATTTTATTGTTTTTTTACAGAGAGGAAGGGAGAGTGATAGAGAGTTAGAAACATTGATAAGAGAGAAATATTGATCAGCTGCCTCCTGCACACTGGGGATGTGTCTGCAATCAAGGTATATGCCCTTGACTGAAATCGAACCTGGGCCCTTTCAGTCCACAGGCCGACGCTCCATCCACTGAGCCAAACTGGCCTCAGCTAAACATTTTTTTAAAATTATTTTTATTATTGAGAGAATCACTGATGTCCCTCTTCCTCCCCTATTGACCCCCCTGGGGAGGGAGCTGATTTAACATGGGCATAAGGAAGGAAGAGGGAGAAAAGAAAAAGAGAAAACCTGCTCTGTACTGATAATAGGTAAAGGACTGGAATTTGGTAGTGATAGACTTTTACAAATATAAATTTAAGAGGATGAACATGACCTCTGTAATACAGTAAACACACACTATTTCAATACGTTCCTGCGGTGTCGGAGGAAGCTGTGGACTTAGCTCTGGGAGGTGGGCCGAGGCCAGTCTTACTGTTGCTCCACTAAGGAGCAACTGTGACCGCCGGCCTCCTATCAGTGGTGGAAGTAAGAATGCTTTCTGCCTTTGCTTCCCCACAATCTTTGTGGGGTTTCATCACAATGTGGCCTTCCTGGGGTGTGAGCTGGGTGTGTGTAACTGCCATCCAGGTGGCACATCAGCTGCATGGATGAGAGAGGGGAGCTGCTGGCACTCGGTCATGGAGCCCTCTAGTAACTGCCGCAGTGAGGCGGCATGTCCGCCTCTGGCTTCTCCGCACTGACGATAAAGAGGAGCCTATGGCCCAGCTGGTGTGGCTCAGAGCTTGAGCATCAGTCTGTGAACCAAAGTCAGATCTCCTTCTATCACCATGCAGAACCCCCTTCTACTTTTTACTACCTCCCCCATCCTGCTTTCCCTCTGGTAACTGCCATACTGTTGTCTGTGTCTGTGCTTTTGTTTGTTTGTCTTGTTTTTGCATTTGTTGCCTTCAGTTTGATTGCCCACACATGAGTGAAATCATATGGTTCCTGACTTTTTCTGTCTACTGCTCTAGCATGATATTCTCAAAATCTATCCGCCCTGTCACAAGTGGCAGCGTATCATCTTTTCTTACATTGTATGTATGTCCCACATCTTTCTTACCCAATCATCGACTGAAGGACACTTCCGTTGTTCTCTTGTCTTGACCACCGTGAATAATGCAGCTCGGTGGCCCGTTTCGGCCCGGGCCCCACGATGCAGTGCTTCCTGGCCCACACACACACACACACACACACACACACACACACACACACACATACACACGGCACAGAGTGGACTGTAATAATCACTCTCATGCTACGGACAATAGGCCTTCGGGTCTATTTCACAGTCTGCTCCCTTTCCACCTCAGAAGGCCCCTCACTGCACTCCTCACAGTCCTCCCGCCCGGCCTGACTCCCTGAGTGATGTGGGTGCTACAGTAACTTCCTGGCCAGGGTCTTTCCACTTGGAAGTGGTTCCCCTTTGATACTGAGCTAAAATATGCTTCTTTGTGGCTTTAAGCCCTCTTCCACAGAAAGCCCTCAGAATATCCAGAAATAGCTTGGCCTGCGTGGCTCAGTGGTTGAGCACTGACCCAGGAACCAGGAGGTCACAGTTTGATTCCTGGTTGGGGCGCATGCCCAGTTTGTAGGCTAGATCCCCAGTGTAGGACATGCAAGAGGCAGCTGATCAATGATTCTCTCTCATCATTGATATTTCTATCTCTCACCCCCTCTTCCTTCCTCTCTGAAAAAAAAAAAATATATATATATATATATATATGTGTGTGTGTGTGTATATATATATATATATATATATATATATATAATCCAAAAACAGTGTGGCTTCAGCATGAACATAAACAAGCATAGTCTCTATTCTTCTCTGAGGGCCTTAAAAAAAAATCAATATATCTCTTAGAGGCACATGCAAATCTACTCTCTCTCTAAAAAAAAAGAAAAAAGAAAAAAGAAAAATCAATGGAAAAATATCTGTGCTTACCTTTATCAGAAAAACGGAGAGTAACAATGATTTGCTTTCTAAGGGCTGGGAAGCGGCCACACGTCAGACAGAGTGACACTGGGTCTGAAGCTCCAGGTGAGAGATCAGAGTGTGTGACAGGCGAGGGGTCCAGCCAGGCCCTCCCCTCCGCCTGTCCGGTGTGTTTAAGGGCCCGTTCTCTGAAGGACCGGGCAGTGCCCTTAGATGATAATTTAAACTCCACTCTGTTCTTTGGAACCATGTTAGTCCCTAAAGTCATTTAAAGTTTGGAAAGGGAGTTGTACTCAGTTTAGAAAGTTTGTATTCTTCTGGGATAAGATCCCTGAGATCCAATTAGGATGAAGGCACTGGAGAAGGTTTGCTGCCTGCTTCCTCTCTCCCTGCCTCCTTTTCCTTCCTTCCTTTTCTCTGAACACTAATCCCCTTCAGAGTCCAGCAGCCCCCAATCTTTTTCCAATGTTGTGGCAAAGCCCCACTACTCCAAGTCTGTGCTTATAGTGGGTATTTGTTTGTTTTTATTTAGTTTTTTTTAATATTATTTCAGAGAGAAAGGGAGAAGGAGAGAGAGAGAAACATCAGTGATGAGAGCATCATTGATTGGCTGCCTCCTGCACACCCCCTACTGGAGATTGAACTCGAAATCTAGGCACGTGCCCTTGACAAGATAGAATCTGGGACCCTTCCGTCCGAAGGCTGATGCTCTATCCACTGAGCCAAACCAGCCAGGGCCTTATAGTGGTTTTTAGAAGGTCTGAATGAAAGGAATGCTTTCCTTTTAAATTTTCAACTCATTGAATTAGGCTCGTGGAAGTAACCTGCCCTGTTCTTCCTCAGACTTCACTTGAAATCTATCTAAACCATTGTCCTCTCAGCGTCCTATCCTCTGGCATGTGCTTTGGGAGCTCTTGGGGCGTCACTGGCAGAATGTGAGCCAGAACAGGATGGGTCCAGAGAAGGGGAACATTCTTTTATTCAGCAAGTGACTATTGCAGAAAATGCAGCAAATATTCAGCCTTCCGGAGTGCACCCTCTAGTGGCCAGAGAGAGTCACATGGAAGAAAATGACCAAACAAGGTAGGAAGTGCAGGACAGGGAGAATGCCCGCAGTGCTGTGAGAGCCCAGCGGGAGGC